GGTGAATGGAGCCCGCCTGTCCCACCTTTGCGAGGCATGTCCCCCTGGGTGGGGGTCAAGGTGAATGGAGCCCGCCTGTCCCACCTTTGCGAGGCGTGTCCCGCTGGGTGGGAGTCAAGGTGAATGGAGCCCGCCTGTCCCACCTTTGCGAGGCGTGTCCCGCTGGGTGGGAGTCAAGGTGAATGGAGCCCGCCTTTGCCGTTGCTCCGGTGGTGGGTGACAGGCGTGCTGCATGCTGGGAGTCTGGCCCTGCCCACCGTGGTAGGATTGGTGAGTTGTTGATACTACATCCAGTCAACTTCCACTCCCAGCGGCTTCCTTCAACCTTCTAGAAGCCAGTTTCAAAGTCTGTCTTCCACGGCACCTCTGAGCAGATTCAAACCAACAACCTTGGAGCTAGTGGTTGAGCACTGACCATCTGTGCCGTCCGTGGACTCTGTGGGTTCAATAGTGTCCATAGCAGATTCAAGAGACCTTACTGGGCAGTAGGCCTCACAGTTGTAACTAAGTATGGTGAATATGAAATCACACTTTCATATTGATTGAGGTAGGCCCTAAATCCACAGTCAGGAGCATCAGAAAAGATACAGAGGCCTTGTGGTGACGGGCAGCGATGTGGCTTTTTGGTGCCACAGCTGAGAAGGGCCACAAGGGCCTGACAGAGGTGAGGAAGGATTCGCCCCTGTGTTCCTCGGTGAGAACGCAGCCCACTGATGCCTTCAGCTCAGACTCTGGCCTCCACACTGACCCAATGTGTTTGTGGGTGCCAGGCCTGTGGTAATGTTACCTGTTACTGGCGGCCACCAACTCGATGCAGACTTGTGGTGCCTGTGAGGGAGAGGGGCTGAACCGTGCTCTGCTGGGATTTCTCTGACTTATTTTGGGGTGTAGAACAATCAGGCGTTTTTTTCAGGCCACCTCTGGGAAGATTCGAACCTCCAGCCCCCAGCGGCTGAACGTATGCCACCACCCAGGGACTACAGATAAGCTCCAGAGCATAGATGATTGTAAAATGTAGTAAAATTCATCGGGAAGTGATGACGCTTGTTATTGTTGGTTTTTAATGTAATTTATGTCAATTTATGTGGTTTCAGTTTTAATAAGGAGTACTGGTAGCCGTGGGGATAAGGAGTTGTGCTGCAAATCCAGAAGCACATGGTTCAAATCTCCTTGGTTCTCCACAGGAGAAAGATAAGCAGTCTCCTCCCGTGCAATTTACAGCCTCTGAAAAGCCGCTGGAGGGTCAGCTATGAGCTGGTTCCGACTCCGCGGCAGTGAGTTGAGCTGCATTTTGAGTAACGGTGATTTCTCACTGTCATCGAGTCAGAACTGACTCACAGCTGACCAGCAGGTTTCTGAGGTGGTGAGTGAGGGGAGATTGCCTGTCTTTTCCCCTCAAAGCTGCTGGTGGGTTCATCCCTTGAGCAGGGAAACTCCTTACCACCTAGGCCACCAGGGCTCCCCATCAGCTGATGTCCCAGTCAGCTGGTGAGCACATGCAGGGTCTCCCAGCAGAAACAGGACGTGAGTCACAGGCCAGGAGGACAGGATGTGCCTGAGCTGTCTCACCTCAGCTCATTGCTGTTGACCAGCTCACAGCTGACCCTCCAGCGCTTTTCCGTGGCATGAGCGAAGGCCGCTCACCTTTTGTCCGGAGGAGTCGCTGGTAAGTTCAAAGTGAGGGAGACACCGGCCTTTTCATTAGTACAGGTCCCTCCCGAACAACCCTGCCACCCCACTCCCGAGTGTTGCTATAACAGTACGCAGGAGGGTGGCTTTAACAAACAGGAGTGTGTTCACTTCCACTTGGAGATTGTTGCTGTTAGGTGCTGTCCAGCACTATGACTTAGAGCGACCCTTTGACAAACAGCTGGAAACCCTGTCCGGTCCGGCACCATCCTTACCATGTCCACAGTGCTCGAGCCTGCAGTTACGGTCACTGTGTGAATCGCTCTTGCCCAGGGCATTCCTCTCTTTAGCTGGTCACCTTGTCACCAACCAGTCTTTTTCCAAGACCTTGAGCCTCCTGATAACATGCTCCAAGTATGTGAGATTGAGTGTCACCGTCCTTGCTTTTGAAGAACACCCTACTTGCACCTCCGCTAAGACTTTGTTCTTTGAGCAGTCCAAGGACTGATCAGTACTCTTCTCCAACACCACAATTCAAAGACGTCGATTCTTCTGACTTTCTTATTCATTGGTCAACTTTCCCATGAATATGAAACAATTGAAAACACCATGTCTTAGTGGTTAGAAATCCAAATTCCAGATTCCAGTTTTAGCAGACCCTGCCCCATGCCCTGCCCCGGCCCCCTGCCTCATTGGTTCTAAAGGAAGGCCTTGGTTTCCTTCAACATCCATAGGTCCACTCTGAATGCCTTGACCTTCTGTTGTCAAGGAGCATCTCAGCACAAAGGAAGGACACTCTCTCCTGTTTCTTGGTGGCACTGAATTCTTTCTCCTCAGCTTACTTTCCCCCCTCTTTTTCTGTCTTGTGAGATAAAAGGTATTGTGGGCCACACCCACGGAAGCTCCACTTGCATCAGGCCTGTGGTAGAATTACAGAGGTGACATCCCACCTTTAGCACCTGGTTGCTTTATCAGGTCTTTGGAGATCCTTACATAACATTCACGTAGTATCATTCCACACACGTGTATGTTTTGGGGACATATTTCAACCCGTGACAGGTAGTAAGGGAGAAATTCAGGGAGGTGGGCTGGTTCAGAACTGCTGATGTGTTTGGATACGTGGATGTAAAATGATTACAGGCCCAGCTGAAGGATGAGATGCTGAACTCCGTCAAAGTCATTGCTGCCGAGTTGGGGCTGACTCCTAGCTGACCCCCCAGTGTGTTTGCTGAGGCACAGGAAGAGATTGTGCTCTTTTTCTCCTGAGGACCAGCTGGTGGATTCGAACCCTCTGCCTTTGCGTAGATAGTGCAATGCCTTACCCACTGGACCACTAGTTCTCCCTGAGGAGTAGGAAACAGGATGGAATATAAATACACTTAGTGAGGTGCTCTGTCTCAGCTCCCCCCAAAAGTCAGTAGGAGTTTAGAAATTATTTTATCCCTCAACTTCCAATGCCATAAAAATAAGTCAGACACATAGGAAAAGATTGCAGCACATCCATCTTTTTAGGATATTATGAGTCTGATAATGAAATCAGTGGAAAATAAAACATGAGAGGAAGACATTTTATATCAATCTCATGAATCGCTGTATGAATCTGAAAACATGAAGACAGGCAAAGCAATTACAACAGGATAAAGCTGCAAGCGTATTTCAAATATCTTCCTATCATGGAAAGATCAAATAAGGGGGGAAGACTCATTTCAATTGGATGTTGTGAAGACATTTGGCGAAGTTTAATACCCATTCATAAAAATGGGTGAAATGAGAAAACAAGATACTTCTTCAGCATGCCAAAGGCATATTTATTTCCCCTCGAAACATCAAGGCATTTTATAAAGCAGCACTATTAAATCGTGCAGAGGAGATGCAGGAATCAACACATCAGTCGGTGAAACAGGAGAGAAAAGAATAGAAAGTCGTGGGGATTTGATACATGGGTGAGAAGGTGTCTACAACAGTATAGGAAATGGGCTTTTCAATTAAAAAACATTGACATGATTGACTTTCCACGTAAAAGGAAATAAAGTTCCTACTTTATACCTGTTCTCTAAAGCGGCTGTAACAGAGGTAAGTGGGGGGTTTTAGGGTTTTAACGAACAGAAATTTATTCTCTTGCAGTTTAGGAGACTAAAAGTCTCTAAATTCTGGATGTGAGCTCCAGTGGACAGTTCTCTCTGATTCTGGAGGAAAGTGCTTGTTTCCTTCAGCAACTGTAGCCCTAATGCTCCCTGTAGGTGGCCATCTGGCCTTCTTCAGGGTCCAGGTCCAGAAAGGATGCACTCCGCCCCTGCCTCTCATCTCTGGTGCACACAGCCAGAGTGAGAAGGTGTAGCCAGAGTGCTCCTTGGAAGCAAAGATGATGCAGCTTTCAAAGATGATCCTTCAGGCATGTTGACGGGAGAGGCAAGTGCTGAGGACTCTACTTCATAGGGTCTATGAGTCGCCTACGACTCGACAGCACTTAACAACAAAATCAATTCAAGATGGTGTAATTGAAAGGTTTCCATCCAAGAACCATGCTGAGGTAGAAACATTTCTCAGCAAGGGGAGTAGGCCCAGAGGATGGGCTCAGGGGGTTTATATGGGGTCATTGCAGTAACTCATTGGGCCGTAAAGTTTCTGTTCTTGGGAACTGGTTGTGGGGACTGTCCTGACATAGGATTTCTGAGTTCTAGTTTCAGAAAAATGTCCTGACATAGGATTTTCTGGTTTTAGAAAACGTCCCAACAGGATTTTCTGGGGTCTGGTTTTGGAAAATATCCTGACATAGGATTTTTGAGTTGAGCTTCAACCTCCATTTTGATTTTTAGTCTAACATTAATGAATGGAACATGAAAAGACAGACTAGGAATAAAGGCCTGGCAGTTTTCTGAAAATCGGCTTGTGAAGCCTTACAGCTCCAGCAGATCTGAGGAAGTGCTGTCAGATGGATCCCCTAGGTGGGAAGATAATCAGAACACACAGCCCAGCCCTGGACTTGAACATGTCAATGACCGGGCGGATGACTCAGGACCTGGCATGGTTTGGTCTTCTTGTCCACAGTTACTAGTTGGGTAATCCATAGGGATGTCAGGCATCCTGAGGGTGTGAGGAGAAATGGTCAGGTGTCTTCTGTAACAGCACTGTCTGGAAGACAAAGGAGAGGAGTGTCTGTGGGGGGTCGGGGCCTGCCTCCCATTGGGCCAAGGTGTCAGGGCCTGTTCCACACTCTTTTTTTTTAAATTTTATTTTATTATTTGTGTGTGTGTGTACCATCAAATCAGATCTGACTAGTACAGGAGGAGATTGCCCCTCCTTCTCCGGCAGAGGATCTGGTGGATTTGAACCGCGTACCTCTGGGATTGCAGGGCAGCTTCTTGCCACTAGGCCACCAGAGCTCCCCAGCGTCTTCCACACTCTTACGCTGCCACTTTGTTGTTTTGCTCTTTCTGCACAGGTCCAAGCCTTGTCATCCGCCAGTAGGTTTGAAGCTGAATTGAAAGCTGAGCAGGAGCAGCGGAAGCGCGAGGAGCAGGAGAGGCAGCTCCGTAGAGCGGCGTTCCGGGAGCTCAAAGCTACTTTCAGTAGGACCTAGTGCTGCTGACCTTGACCGTGTTCTCCGCCCACCACCGTGCCTTGCAGATGCCTCTTGGAGAGAGAGATGACTGTGTCCTCTTATCTCCATGGACCTCTCCAAGCCCTCCACATCCATCCACCACCTGATGTACACTCCTTAGATGAACTCAGAGGGGACACCAAGTCGCCTCTTCCCAGTGCTGGAGCTGCCCTGAGGGACCTCAGACAGTCCTGGGTCTGTCCTGCTGACCAACATCTCCTGCCTACTTCCTTTCCTCTGCCCTCTCCAGTAGCCAGCATTGGGCTCTTGGCAGCTTGTACCTGTCCCTTGTCAACTGACCATTCCATGTCAAGGAGTACTCTGCTCTGCTCATTTGGACAATTGCTACTCTCTTTTGTGGTTCTTGTTGCTGGAGGGCTATGACCTTGGCATTCCTGTTTTCATTGGGAAAGTCTCTCTGCACCCTTTACTACCCATTCGGTTTCCTAGGACTTCAAGGACTGTTACCTGTACTTTCCTCCAGCACAGCAAGTGATGCCAGTGCTGGGATGACACTAGAGGAAACACCAGAAATTTCATTCCTTCCCATCAGCCTTTCCTGTCCCCTTAGCCTTCTCTCTGGATAGTTTCCCACATCAGCAGCCTTTCCCATCCTTTGATACCGTGCTACTTAACTAGAAGAAGCAAGAGTGAGTGAGCTGAATATTTGAACTGAGTAGAAGATTTCTTACTTATTTCAACTCTAATGCTATGTAAACCCTGTAATAGTAGACCCTGGACATTCCACAAGTGCAGGACCTTCCAGCACCCCAGAAGTCATGATGGGGCCCATCCTCTAGCCAGCTTCCCAGTATCTGCTCTGGGGTTTTGAGGTGAAGGTGTTCTTATCCCCACTTTTTAAAGATTTTCTGTAGTTTAAAAAAAAATTCCTCATGTACTATTTATTCTCTTTTGTAGCTGCTCTTTTCAATAAAGGAACATTCTACCTGACAGCTATTTCTTATTAAATAAACTGTGCAAATGCACTTTTGTCATCTAAACCAGCGGGCGTTGAGTCTTTGAACGGGGGAGAGAGGACAGTGTTTTTTTCTTCAAAGCTCAATCATCTCATGAATGAAACAAACAGAACAAAGCCATCTCTGGCCCTGTGCTGACTCCACAGCCATCCTTCACCGATCCCACAACCCTTGTGTGCCTGAGCCCATCTCTGTAACCACCTTTGTGGGCTTTTCTTATTGATGATCCGATTTTATATAAGACTGAGCCTATTGCCTTGAAGTCTTCTTCCAATCCTGACGCCACGTTCCTCATACAGTCTAGCTTCTCGGAGTGATTGGCATACGGATTGACTAGGTCTGGAGAAAGGATACAACCCTGCTGAACACCTTTTCTGATTGTAAATCATCCAGTGTTCTCATGTTCTGTTTGGATAGTCAGACATCTGACTGATGGTCTGTGTGTGTGTGTTAAATGTAATTTTTTTACTATTTGTGTGTGTGTGTGTACTGGGAATAAGTGCATTTGAGATGGCGAGGTTGGCACAGGATAGAACAGCGTTTAGAGCTCTTGTACATAGGGTCAAATGACTCGATGGCACATAACAACTGTCAAATTGGATCTGACTGGTACAGGAGGAGATTGCCCCTCCTTCTCCAGCAGAGCATCTGGTGAATTCAGATTGCGCACCTCTGGGATTGCAGTGCAGTTTCTTGCCACTAGGCCACCAGAGCTCCCGTGTGTGTGTTTTAATTTTCACTTTAATTTGTTGATAAAAGCTGTATATATTGTTTCACACTATCCTTCATTCACATTGTGTATCATTCAATTATCTTCATTCATTACGTTTTATAAAATTAAAAATCATTGAATAATGCCCACCATTACCCTGTCCTTCCAGGCTCCTGCTGGATCTTTCCCATTTCCTTTGCCCGCCCCTCCCTCCACCCATCAAATTGTGGAATTGTATGATTTTCCCCCCTGCCCGTTTTCACCTCTTTGCTCCCCCCACCTTGGATCCTCAGACATATTTTACTAGTTATCTTTCTATTTCTATAATTAAAATCTTCCGCAGTATCAGTCCTTATGAGACTGACTTAGTTTACTCAGCATATTGCCCCAGTCCCTCCCAGGTTATGTAGTAATTTTAAAAATTGTTGCTCTTGAGTGCTATGTAGTATTCCATCATGTGAATATACCACAGTTTCCGAGTCCTTTCAGTTGTGATTGGACATTTGGTCCATATATATTAACGACTTGCGTTATGTAGATGACACAACCTTGACTGCAGAAAGTGAAGAGGACTTGAAGCTCTTACTGCAGAAAATCAAAGACTCCATCCTTCAATATGGGTTACATCTCCATATCAAGAAGACTGTGATGGATGGAGAAAAGATTGAAGTTATCAATGATTTCATCTTACTTGGATTCACAGTCAACACTCTTGGATGCTGTTGTTATGTGCCATCGAGTCATTTGCAACTCATATGTACAAGAGCTCTAAACGCTGTTCTATCCTGTGCCAACCTAGCCATCTCAAACGCACTTATTCCCACGGCTCCAGTCACAGAGTCTATCCATCTCATCGAAGGTCTTCCTCTCCTTTACCGCCCCTGCACTCTGCCAAACATGACGTCCCTCTTCAAGAACCAGTCCCTCCCTGCAACATGCCCAAAGTGTGTCAGACGAAGCTTTAGAATCCTTGACTCCAAGGAGTATTCCGGCTTCATCTTCTCCAGGACAAACCTGTTTGTTCTCCTAGCAGTCCATGGTATAGTCAACACTCTTCTCCAGCACCAAACCTCAAAGTCATCAATTCTCTGTCAACCCTATTCAGGGTCCAACTCTCTGACACATAGCACGTAATTGCAAAGACTAGAGCCCTTAGCCTCCAGCACCTTCATCTCCAGCCTGATGTCGTTGCTCTTCAGTACTATTGAGAGGTCCCTCACAGCTGACTTTCCCAGTGCACTTCGTCTCTTGATTTCCTGGCTGCTGTTACCAAGAGTGTTGATTGTGGAGCAAACTAAAACTGTTAACTATCTCAACCTCTTCACCATCCATACTAGCAGTCAAGAAATAAAATAATGTGTTGCATTTGGGAAATCTGATACCAAGACCTTTCCAAAGTTCCAAAGAGTAAGGGTGTCATTTTAAAGACAAAGGTGTGACTAATCCAAACCCTAGTATTTTCAGTTGCTTCCTATGAATCTGAGAGTTGGGCAATGAATCAAGGTGACAGAAGAAAAATCAATGCCTTTGAATTGTGGTGCTGGAGAAAGACACTGAACATCCCATGGACGGCTAAAAGAACAAACTCGTCTGTATTGGAGGAAGTGTGGTCAGGCGCTCGTTAGAGTCAAGGAGAGTGAAACTTGGCCTCACATACTTTGTACATGTTGTCAGGAGGGGCAGTCCATGGAAAATGACATCGGGCTGAGGAAGGTGAAGGGTCAGAGAAAGAGGAAGTTCTTCAACAAGATGGACTGACAGAATGACTGTAACAATGAATTTGAGCATGGCAGAGATTTTGAGGAAGGGCAGAGTTACTATTGTTCCTAGGGTCGCTGTGACTCATAGTGGACTTGAAGTCACCTAACAACAACAGTGCTTTGAAAAAGAAAGTGTCTCAAAGAAGGGAAGTTTTGAGGGAAATTTGTATATTAGGTTAAGGTGCAATCTCCGTTATGCAGATGACACAACCTTGCTTGCTGAAACTGAGGAGGACCTCATGCACTTGCTGCGAAGGGTCAAGGACTGCAGCCTTCAGTATGGACTAAGGCTCAATGTCAAGAAGACAAAGATTCTCGCCACTGGACCAATTAGCAGCGTCAGGATGGATGATGAAGAGATTGAGATTGTTCACAGCTTCAGTTTGCTCGGCTCCACAGTCAACACTCTTGGTACCAGCAGTCAGGAAATCAAAAAGCGTATCGCGATGGGAAAGTCTGCTGTTAGGGACCTCTCAAAGGTACTCAGGAGCAACAGTGTCTCTCTGGAGACTAAGGTGCGCCTGATACAGGTCATGGTATTTGCAATCACTTGTTATGCATCAGAGAGTTGGACAATGACTAGGGAGGACAGAAGGAGAGTGGATGCTTTTGAGCTGTGGTGCTGGAGAAGGGTACTGAATGTACCATGGACTGCCAGGGAAACAAACAGATCCATCTTGGAGAGGATTAAACCAAGCTGCTCCTTGGAGGCAAGGATTCTGGGGCTTCGTCTGACATACTTTGGACATGTTGCCAGGAGGGACGGGTCCTTGGAGAGGGACATCATGCTTGGGAGGGTGGAGGGACAGTGCAGGAGGGGAAGACCCTCTATGAGATGATTGATTCGGTGACTGGGGTAATCGGGATGGGTGTGTCAGAGGCGGTGCGGTTGGCGCAGGGTAGAGCAGGGTTTAGAGCTGTTGTGCATAGGGTCGCTATGAGTCGGAAACGACTCGATGGCACATAACAACAACAACAACCACCTCTGGCCTTTAAGATGAAGTCGGCGTTGTTCTGTTTAAGTGTTTATTCACCATGGAACATGCTCTGTGGATTTCCTTCTCATTGCTGCTTTCTCTGGGAGGTCATACAAAGGTCATTCTTCTGCTTATCTGTGGAGAAGCACCCAAAAGTCCTTTCAGATAACTTAATACAGACATTGCTAGTTAAGGTAAAGATCCGTAGGAAGGGACCTGGGGCTGCCTGTATTAGCTGATGCCCAGGCTGCTTCGGAAGAGATCTGTGGGCCTAGGGCTGGTCCGTGGCCGGCCTCCTTGATCTGAACCCTCAGAAGGGGCCAATCCATCTTGCTGAGGGTTCACTTCTTTTACTGACCCTCTGCTTTAGAAAGCATGAGGTTCTTCAGGGACCCTCCTGAGAACATCCCCAAGGGATGTGAGATGAAGTCTTACCATTCTTCCTTCTAAGGAACATTCTCACTGCACTCCTTTCCAAATAGATTTATTCATTCTTCTGGAAATTCATGACATGTTCGATATTTTTCAACATCATAATTCAAAGGCATAAAAT